GTTGAAAAATTAAATAATTTCAAAATTTTGAAACATTCTAAAACAATTAAAAATAAAAATAATGCAAAATTTTTTTAAAAAGTTAAAAAAATAAAAAAATTTAAAATTTAAAGTTAAAAAAATTCTTGAATATTTTTAAATTTTTTTTTACAATTTTCAAATTTTTTTTATATTTTTAGCAAAAAATTTAGAATTTTTTATTTTAAATATTTTTAGGCTTTTGTGATTTTTTTGAAATTTAAGAAAATTTTATTTTTATTATAATTTTCAGGTTTTTTGAATTTCTTGAAATTTTTTTTAATTTTTAAATGTTTTATTAAAATTTTGATTTTTTGATTTTGTTTTTTTAAAATTTTTTAGAATTTTTATATTTGAAAATTTTTTTAGAATTTGTTAGATTTTTTTAAAACTTTGGTAGAATTTATTAAAAGTTTTTAAAAAATTTTAAGAATTTTTTAAAATTTTTAAAAATTTTAAAAATACTTAAGAATTTAAAAATTTTTCTTTTTATGCTGACTTTATATTCATGATGTGACTTTGACTAAACTTTTTTTTATCATGTGTCAACATCTTATTGGATATTTATGCCAGATCTGCATTTTAAACTAATGGTGTTAGGTCAAGGTACTAACGTGATAACATAATGAAAGTTGAAGTCCCAAACTGATAATTTTATTTCTTTAGGTGCTAAATTAATAGAAAATGTATAGTTCAAGGTTCATTTTTATATTTAACAATTTATTAAAAGATAAATATGTCATGTCACTCAAAGGGTAATCCTCGAGGAAGTGCGAATTCCCGAAATTGATAATTCTTTTTGTCATGGGAATGTTAAATTTTCTGTGTTTGATTTACAGAATCTCAGATTACGTAATAAAAGTTTTTTTTACTATAATATCTTTCATTACATGTACATATCGCATGACAAATATTTTAACTGCTAATTATGTTATTAAAATAAAATATGTGCCAACCATTAAACAATAAAAATAAAGAAGATTTTCATTATGTTAAAAATAAGGTGGTATATTATGAATATATATATATATATAATAAAGTTTAAATATGACTTTTTTTTATCATAAACATAGTCTTCGACAAATAAAAGGAATTCATTATAAACAAGCGCGGCATTTTTATTATAAAGATGGCATAATAAATAACAAACACATTTTTATCACTATAAACACAATGTTTAATAAAAAACAAAGTATTACATTTTGGTTTATAACCAAGCACACAAGCATCACGTTTTGATTTTATAAATTTAGTCTTTTAATGAAATATTATGTTTGTGAAATTATAAATGCAGTGTTTGACAATTAATCAAGCATGATGTTTTGAAACAATAAACGTAATATATATACAAACCTAGTTATTGATAGGCGAGTATTATAAAATTGGCTAGCTAGTTTAACAAGGCTAAAAGTTATATTGGTCATTAAAAAAGAAACATAGTGCTTGGTATCAAATACTACGTTTTTCACATAAAAAAACATAATTAAAAATTTTGTATAACAAAACATGGTGTTGTCTATAACAAAAAACATAATTATCAATATGGAAAAAAATTTTTGTTTATCAAATACTATATTTTTTTCATAAAAAATGTAGTTAAAAATATTTTAAATATTCTATCATAAATATTATATCTATTATTACGTTTTTATATTAAGAAACAACATTCAAATTGAAAATATCAAATTTTTTTATTTTTTTTCAAATGATTAACTACGTTTTATATGTAAAAACATAGTGTTTATAAAAATTAAAAAAATTATGATTTATTAATGACTACGTTTTCATAACTAGAAACGTAGTTATTGATATAAAAAAATTTTATATTTATCAAATATTACTTTTTTGACAAAACAACGTGTTAAAAGTATCATAAATATTTTATTATAAATTTATATTTATTACTACATTTTCATACTAAGAAACGTCATTCATATTGAAAATATTTAATTTATTATGTTATTATTTTAATTGATTAATTACATTTTATATGTAAAAATCAAAGTGCTTTCGAAAATAAAAAAAATTCAAAATCCTAAATTTGTAGTAATTTATTATGTTTTTTCTTTTTAAAACATTATTTTTATGCTACTAAATGTCCAACCGTTATGAGGTTTCTGATCATATGGCTAGTTTGCCCAATCCTGTGGCTATAAGTGCAACTTTTCATGTCAAAATAGATATTGATTTATTATACAATTACGTTGATTTTAAAGAGTAAAATAGATTGAAAAAATTTATTTTTACGGTCAAAAGTAGAACAAAATTTACTTGTTTCAAGAAATTTTAAAAAACCTAAGAAGAGGTGAGTTATTGATTCCAGACTATTTGGACATTGTTAAGAATATTAAAATACTTCCTAAAATCAAATATTATGAACTAAATGTGAAAATCATATTAAAATCAAAATTTTAGGTTAATCTAATTTTTCTCCAAAGCAAACACCGCTAAGTGTATTTTTGTAAGCAAAATATAGGGTGTATAAAAAATATTTTAAAGGGTGTTTAGTTTGTAAAATCTTAAATTTCGAGAAAAATGTAATTCTAAAAAAAATGTGATTTCGAGAGAAGTATGAATTTTTATAGCATCTCATTTTTAGATTTTTGTATTTGGTTAGGAAAATAAGAAATTATTTAATCATGTATTTTTACTATAATGCCTTTCACTACATAATAGAAACAACAATTTGTCAAATAAAAATAATCGATAAATACTACATTTATCTTCAAAGAAACATAGTAATTAATTATTTTAATAAAATTATAATGTATAATTACTATATTTATGACAAAATCAATGCAATAATTGATTATTGTAAAAAAATTATAATGAGCAATTATTACATTTATTTTTAAAGAAACACAGTATTTGATTTTTTAAATAAATTACAATGATTAATTATTACGTTTATCTTTAAAAAAATACAATAATTTAATTTTTTACATATTTAAAAAATTTACAAAAAATAATTACTGCGTTTTCTTGAATAAAAACATAATAATTGATTTTTCAGCGTATTAATTGACTTATCATTAATGGCTTATAGTGTCATTAATTGGCTTATCATTCATAATTATTGCGTTCCTTTGAATAGTAACACAATAATTGGCTTCTTAGCACATTAATTGACTTATTATTAATGGTTTATAGTGTAATTAATTGACTTATCATTGGCAATTGCTATGTTTCTTTGAATAAACGCAGTAATTGGCTTATCATTAATGGGTTATAGTATCATTAATTGGCTTATAATTGGCAATTACTACGTTTCTTTAAATTAAAGCATAATAAATAATAATAATTACTGCATTTCTTTTAAAAGAAATGCAAAATTGGCTTTTCATTGCATTTATCGGCTTATCATTTAATATTATTAAATATTTTAGTTTTTTCAAAGAAATACAGTAAAGAATCATAATTACAACATTTTTTTTTCAAATTTTTAATTTTTTTATTATATGTTAATTTTTAAAAAGATAAATTAAAAAGAAAATATTTTTTATTTAGATTAAATTTAGAATAAAAGTAACTTTGTGAATTTTAAAATAAGTAAGTTTATGATTTTAAAATTTTTGAGTAATGTTAAAAATTTAAAATCTTTTTTAAAAATCGAATATTTATAAATTAAACGTGAGAATAAAATACAAATAAATGCAGTAATCGACTTATCAGAGTATTAATTGGCTTATCATTAATGGATTATAATATCATTAATTGGCTTATCATTGGCAATTACTACGTTTCTTTAAATTAAAGCATAATAAATAATAATAATTACTGGATTTCCTTGAAAAGAAACGCAAAAATTGGCTTCTCAGTGCATTTATTGGCTTCTCATTTAATATTGTTAAATATTTTTTTTTTCAAAGAAACACAGTAAAGAATCATAATTACAACATTTGTTTAAAATTTTTTTTAATTTTTTAATTATTTATTAATTTTCAAAAAGATAAATTAAAAAAAAAATTTCTTATTTAGGTAAATTTAAAATAAAAGTATCTTGACGAATCTTAAAATACTGTACGAAGAAGTGAGTTTTTTATTTTAAAATTTTTGAGTAATGTTAAAAATCTAAAATTTTCACTAAAAATCGAATACATATAAATTAAACGTGAAAATAAAATACAAACAAATAAGATTTCGAAGAAAAATCTCATATTTTTTCGAATTAAAGCTCGCTTAGAGTGTATTTAAAATATCATTTAGATTTTTTTTATTTTTTTGAGTTTTCTGTTACCAATTTGTTGTTATTTGATGATTCCAATTCCACTTTATAACTATAATTTACATGTGTTGTAATTAAATAAACTTTAAACCCAAATATATGTCGGTACTTTAGTTTTTGAAAAAAGTTTTGGGCAAAAATGCAGGTGAGAGATGTGGAGTGGAATTTGGCACTATCAGAAGTTATATTTTTCTATTTAGGTTGGTTAAAAGTTTGCTGCTGCCTGTATAATTAAGAAGAAAAAATTAATCTGAGCATCAGTTAAAGTGTCAGAGTACTATGAGTTTAGGTGGTTTTTAATTTTGTGGTGTTTTATACATATATTTAGAACTCTCGTTTGTAGATTTGAATAGTGAAACAATATGGAATATGATATCAAAATTTCTCATTCTGATTCAAGAGTTAAAATTCTGCAATTACTGGTAGGTAATACCAAAAATCGCCTAGTTTATATTCTTCTATGATGAATGAACTCTGGTATCAGCAGTGAGTTTTATGTGTCTTATTGAAACACCAAAAATATTTTCTTTATTTTCCATTTATGGCTAGCATCCAAAATTCGTTTGCTAATTGTTTTTAAGTTTGAAAATTGCTTTTTTTCCCCCCTTAAATTCATGATTTTATAAATACTGAAACTTTAAGTTTACTCTTATCAATGCAACTTGTAATTCCGACTTTCTCAATTGATTTTCCTGTTTCTGATTTGAACATGAAAGGGAGACTTTCGGATTCATTGTCAACTTATGCTCTTTTCATAATGAAAAAGGGGGTGTCTATGTAATTTATGGCGATTCTTCTGACTGATTAATTAGCAGAAGAGAACAAAAAAATAAGGAGCTGAAGTATTTGATGTAAAATCTGGTTTTAAGGTGACGCAGCAGCAGAATAATTTTATGTGGGCCTCTGCTGTTAAAACTTTTGTTTTGGTTAACTGGGTATTTGTTGAAATTAGGAATAGCAACTTGGAGTTCTTAGCCTATCCTTATAGACTTTCTGGGTTTTTCTTCTTTGTTTGGTTTTTGCATTGTCCCTTTCACGTATTTCACAATCACAAACCTTAATTACCTTCCTCTCGAATTCACCGCGCATTAATTTCTTTTCTTTTTAATGTTTTGAACTGCCATTCATTATCTTTGATTTTATGGTTTTCAGATATTTCTCATGTCTAACAGAACTTTGTTGCCTTTTCATTCATCAACAGGTCAGCAGTTCACAAGAGTTCAATTTTTGAATAGTGGAGCAAATCACTCTTGAATTCTTCACATACTCCACTGGGTTTTCTGAATTTTATTGGACATGATCGCTGGTTAAGCTCCCTTGGCCTTTTTTTGGTCTATTTTCTCTCTTCTTGCATCCTCTCTGCTTCCCCATAATTTACATATTCCATTAGACCTGCTGTTAGTGAAACCCACTTCTGAAATAATCCAAGAACTATTCTTGAAAATCCATGGTTTTTGAGATGGATTACAGGCTAATTTGGCAGTGCAGTTAATTCAGTTCTTTCTGGATAGTGGATTGAGACTAGCCTAGATGACTGTAGATGAAGCTGTCAGCAGCTCCGAGTGGAGTAGGGATCAAGACAAGGCATTTGAGAATGCCCTTGCAACTTATCCTGAGGACTCTTCAGATCGGTGGGAGAAAATTGCGGCTGATGTACCTGGTAAAACTTTGGAAGAGATTAAACAACACTATGAGCTTCTGGAGGATGATGTTAACCGGATTGAATCTGGTTGTGTGCCTCTCCCAGCATATAATTCTTCTGAGGGTTCAGCAAGCCATACTGGCGATGAAGGAACTGGTAAGAAGGGAGGTGGCCATTTAGGGCATTATAACAGTGAGTCAAATCATGAGAGTAAGAATTCAAGGTCAGATCAGGAACGCCGTAAGGGGATTGCTTGGACAGAGGATGAGCACAGGTGAATTAGTTGTGGTTTTAAATTTTTTATTTTCTGTTTTCATTTAGATTGTTTTTATGCACCTTTAGAAGTATCTTGATTAAGGTTTATTTTGCCTGCCGTGTGGAACTTTAATTCTTAGTGTTCTTTATGCTTTATAATTAGTAATTATGTGCATTTTTTATGTTTTGATTGCCTTGGAATCTCTTATCCTGTGCGTGTTTAGAATCTTTGATTTTTATTTGATAAAAAAGTTTCCAAAAATTGCTTTCCACCTGTAAAATTCTATTTGATGATTATTGTTAATTAGTTGTTAGGAAGCTCAGATTTTGTACATGGCTTTCTTATTTAACGTTTTACTGCTGTGCATTACTGTGAAGTTGTTGATGTTTGTGGAAGGCCAATAGATGAAGAATGTATCCTGAAATGATGTGAAATAACTTAAGAGAATAGGGATTTCAATGTTACCATGTGGAAGAGAGATCTTGCAGGCAGTTGTTCGTTTTCTCTTCTCCAGAAAACTTGTACCCTAAAAGAGAATAATTATACCATCTTTAAATGTCACCTGTATTACACTTGCAGCCTTTATCTGTGGATTAATCGTTTAACCTTGTCTGACGTGGGCTAATCTTTTCGAAACCTCCATAATAGCCCAATTTTTACCAAAAGTTGGCATTTTAGGTTTTGATTGCTTTTCGCTGGTATACGCCCCTCATGTACAAAATATTTTTTCACATAACAGTCTATGTTTCCATTATTAAAGTGCTTGCTAAATTTGACTCTGAAATGGAAGGGAAGGAACTACTTGTGAAGGGTTATTGAAGAGAATTAACTTCTCACCAGGCTACCGTATAAGGGTTATGGTATAGCCACTTTTACTTTGTTGGGCAAGTTTGATTCACATATCACTTACACATTATGTTGGAAAACCATGCCTTTCCAAGTAAGAACTATTTAAGGGATGTGGTCAAGTTTACATCAAATTTAACTGTTTAGGTTGTTTTTAGCTCCAGTGTCCATCATACCACTTTCTAACTGAATTACGCCTTAGATGAGTGGTGGATATTTGCCATATTTGAAATGATTTCTGTGCACAATATTTGGAAAGTTCATTGAGGGTATGAATTTAGTTTGTCCAGCCCATTTAGGTTACTCATAACTAATAGTAAGTAAAGTGAAGTCTGCCAATTTTGTATCATATAAATGATAAGTTTCTTTTGATGTTAGAGATATTGGTTTGCTCCTCTTTCTCCCTTAATTTTTTTAAGTTTCTACTTTAAATTTCTTTTGGGCTTTTAGAAAAATAGTAAATGGGTTAAGATTCAGGTATGCTTTAGCTGTAAAACTTGCCATCAGTAAATGGTTTGTTATGGATACCTGATTCTATGCACAGCATGAACTACGCGAGTAAATTTCGTGGATGGTTGCTGAAGTTTTACCCTTTTCCCATTTTGCTCAACGAACATCCATTCATTCCTATTGGGTCCCTATACTTTTTAAAGTGTACGAAATGTGGTCACCATAAGTGATTACATCCAAATAAATGACATTCAGCGAGTGTTGCATGAATATTAGATGCTAATTCTGAGAATAGTTGTAATCTTTTCCATAGAGAGGCAGCAGTCACATTTGGAAATCTAAAGGACATCCAGGGAAAAAAGGATCTTGTAGAAGAAAGGATAAATGAGAATTCAAGTGCAATTGCCCCGGGTGGATATCTGATGTCAACTTCTGTATATATGTAAAGAATGCTAAAAGCTGTGTGGTAAAGATAAGGAGTCTCCTGGAACTTTATGTGACAATCTATGTTAGGAGTTTTGAAGTGTTGGGTAGGTCAATTTAAAAGATTGCAGACTATCAAAGAAAAACTGATCATAAAGCTTTTCTTATGGCCTACTTGTTATGGTATGGTGATTCTCTTCATAAGTCAATGATAAGGTCTAAATGTCATGGAATTTGAATTAACATTAGCACTCCTGCTAGTGCAACTGTCAATACTCTGGTTTTATAAGACTGTTAAAGTAACTCTCCAGAGTCCTTCCCTAATTTACACGTCTTCTTTGGGATTTGTTTGTGTGAAGCCTTGGCCTGTTAGCTATATCTGAAGTTTGGGATTGGGAAGGCAAAGTTAGGAAATCCTCCTGAAGTATCAACAGATATATGCTGAGAAATTATTCAGAAGAATCGGATAGGAAGAAAAAGGTAGGTTCTATGCTTTAATATGCTGCGATTAAAGTTCTTCCCCTTTTGGATTAATTATCAGGAACAGCTAGCATTTCTGAAGGATATGAAAAAGTATATAGGTGATTTTAGTTAAACAGTCCCTGAAGTGGATCTATTAAGGTATGTCTGAAAGAGACAAATCTGGGTCATATTGGACTATACTGTTATTGTTTATATTAACTGATAGAAGTTAGTAATATTTAGAAACACATTGACTTCCAAGATATGATAGATAGTCTTCTAGGCTCGAATAATCCGCAGTCACCCTTTGACTGAGTTGGTATTAAAATTTGTTATTTTTGTTTAAAATGATTGGGGTTCTAAAATATAGCTATAATTACGGGCAGCTTTATATAACACATGATCATATGTGAGTCTTCTGAACATTGAATTTGTCATCAGCATCTCCCATTTCCCTTGCTTGCATCCTCTCGTTCTGGTGTCATATGTAGTGTTCTAGACTTCTAGTTATTATAGTTTGTTGAAGTGTTGACAATTAATATTATCTTTCTGAAAGGTTTGAGGTTTATGCTTCCTACGTCTTAAAGAAAAAAAAAAAAAACCTAAAATGACTGACCTCTTATGCAAAATTTTCCGTTCTTTTAACAATGCTCTTAAATCGAGAGACGTGGTTTTCAATAAGTTTGGTTGAGGAGCTATGATTTTATTAGTTTTTGTCAATTGAAAATTGCTTAATTGTTTTAAGAAGGATGGTCTTTTCTATGAATTTGAGATGTATTTTGATACTATATTTGACCATCAGGCTTGTTATATTATGATTTTAATGGTATGTTTAGTCACTGTATCTTTTATCTGGAAAAACAGGTTATTTCTTCTTGGTTTGGATAAATATGGGAAAGGTGATTGGCGAAGCATTTCCCGGAACTTTGTGGTCACAAGAACACCAACTCAAGTGGCAAGTCATGCACAAAAATATTTCATTCGATTGAACTCCATGAACAAAGATAGGAGGCGATCTAGCATACATGATATTACCAGTGTTGGCAATGGAGACATTTCAGCACCCCAAGGACCTATCACTGGTCAATTGAATGGTGCTGCAGCTGGAGGTCCCTCCGGAAAGTCAGCCAAACAGCCCACTCAACATCCTGCTGCACCACCTGGTGTTGGTATGTATGGTGCTCCAACTATAGGGCAACCTATAGGAGGTCCCCTTGTCTCAGCAATTGGCACGCCGGTGAATCTTCCTGCCCCGGCACATATGGCTTATGGAGTCAGAGCTCCTGTACCAGGAGCAGTAGTTCCTGGTGCACCAATGAACATGGGTCCTGTGACATACCCAATGCTGCATACATCTCATAGGTAATATGCTGCTTAGCTGCCAAGTGTACGAAGGACGGAAGAATACTTGCTTGCGCGGATATTGGGTTATTGGGTTTTCCATTTAAGCCTGAATAAGATTTGCTTATTTGCAATCACAAGTTGCGTGTCATTTGTTTAATCTAAATAAGCCATAGTGAGAGAATTTACATGTACCTGTATAGGCTAGGCTACTGTGGAAAAGGAAAATGTTGGCATATTTATGGGTAGGACAACATTTTTGCACTTTTCTTTTTTCACCATTCCCCATTGCAACCATTAGCATTAGAATTAGTTAATGTTTAGATATTTTATGGCAAAAGTTGTAAAAAAAACCCCCTACATATTTTGCTATTATGAGCATATCTAAGTACATGTCAGATCAATTGGTTTTTCGGTTAGTGGGTTGCCTGCCTGGTGGCCAAGAATATGATCAGCCTCTTTTTTCAGGATCAAGCAGGGTAGGTTCCGTTGCGTTTTGTCCAGTTTTTCAAAGGTGTTTGAGATGGCATTTCACAGCAGCAATGATGATATAAGATTGTTGCTATCTCAACTGTGATCTCAGGAATGATATTCGAATATGCTTTTTGAACAGTTTTTTGTATGTTAAAAATGGCCTACTCGATTGTATTCCTAATAAAGGTGCCGCTGTCGCTATGGTGGACTGATTGCTGGTGTGGACTGTGGAGTAGGGACCTTCCATCTTTCTTATTCTAATGCCTGATGATCATGTTCAGCTCGTGGTTCTCCACCATTCACCTTTCTTATTCTAATGTCTGATGATCATGTCCAGCCAAGATTTCCAATCATTAATAAAAGAATAATGATAAAGGAAGAATGAGCCAAAAAAAAGAAGGAAAAATGGCAATGAAAAAAATCAAAGAAAAAATAAATAGGATAGATCATTACAAAGATAAGGTTACTCAGTTCAATTTTGAAGGTTTGCTAGATATTTCAGAGTGTTTACACAAAAATATTAACCTCAAAGACCGATTTGAACAAAAATGTAATTCCTTTAAATGTTAGGTTTTGATTTTAACATTCAAGGATTTGAGTTCGGCTAATTATATAATAAATATTATTTTTATATTTATATATTATACAATTTATATCATATAAAATATATATTATATTATGATGTATACATTAAAAAAAATTAAATTTTTTTTAAAAATTTAATAAAAGAGATAGACACAATTACTAAAATTAAATAAAAATAACATTTTAATTAAAAAAAAAAAAGAAATTTGGGCTGACTTGAACAGGATTGTTAATATTATGCCTAGACCTAATCTATGAATGCCTCTGCAACGGCATAACAGAAAGAAATACTTAGGATTATTGTAGATGTTGATACAACAATGCTCTAAAGTTGATATCATAAAGTATAAGTTTGTGAATTTGATTATTAAACACAAAATTAAGAGTTGGTAACCAATTTTTTTAATTAAGTGCGATTAATCATAGCCTAAAACTTATTAAGAGTTCAATTGGATCCCTCTTTCATGCCAATGCAGTGTGGTTGGACTACTGTGATGCTATTTCAGTGATAAAAAAAATACAGTGGGGACTTTTTAATCGTGTTGTACCCATGATTTGTGACTGAAGCTTTAAGATCCAGTAAGAAAATAATGTTGAAAAACCGCAGTCCCCTTTTACCCTTTTTTTTTTTATAATTTTATAAAGATTTTCAATTATTTATTTAAAGTAATAAATAAATTTATATAATTACATAATAAATAAACAAATAAATAATTTTTTTTTGTAAAATACACAAATATATATACATATCTATTCATATTATTAATTATATAAAATAATTCTATATATAATAAATAGTTACAACATTATAAATACATATATACACATCATAAAAATAAAATGTACACCATAATTTTAGTAATTTTTAATTACTTATAATTTTCACAAATATCAAATATATACTATAAATTTCATTATAAACAAAATTTTGTCTAATGCCCTTAATTATCATTTTTCATTCTCACTATATTTCATATCGTCACCATTGTTACGTTTATATTCAAATACATATTTTATCATTAATTTTAATCTTACTATTATATTACCTAATCTTACTACTATAATAACTAATCTCACACTCATCACTGTGTTCAATCTTATCTGAATCAATTTCACCACCTATTTAAATAGACCCCAAGTATCTTTAAAAAATAAATTATAATTTACATTTCAAAACTAAATTTGAGAGTTAGTTTACGTGTTGGAAAGATTTTATCACCTTCATTAACACTCATCTTAAAATGATATAAATTAATATTATCCAAAAATTTATCTTAATTAATGGTCTTTCTATTTTTAATTAAATATTTTAATTTTTGAAATAAATCTTAAATTAAGTTTGAATTTATTTTATAAGAAGTAAGTAAAAATTCCTTTCATTGAAAAATCTTCAAAAAAAAAAAAAAATTCCTTTCAACATGTTTGATAAAATTAATTTGAAAAAATTTTCTCAATATTCAAAGTGATCACCTTCGTATTTTCCTCATAATTTCAAAGAATTTTTATTTATGATTATTTTAAATTTATAATTATATATTTTAAAATTTTAATTTACAAACTTATTCTACTAAATATTAAATCTTTTTTAACCTTTTTTTATTTTACTTGTTATATTTATTTCTTCAGTCAACAAAATCAACCTTCACATTTTTCACATCATCATTAAATACAATCGATATTCAAACTCCTTGCTGCAATGCAAGCTCGTCCCTACCTCTTCACTTATAGGAGAGTGACCAACTATCATTACTAATGTCCTATTAGTGTATTATTTTACAATAAATCAATTAACTTTTAATTTATTTGAAATTATTAAATGCAGCTCACATTCACTTACATGATTTTGAGCTTCACATGAATTTCTCATCAACTGTTAATAATTTTGATCATAATATTACTGATTATCTTATATATAAGGTAAAAAAAAAGTCTAAGTACATAATTTTGAACCTTTCTTCCCGAAGCTTGTTGGATACTCTTGCTACTTACACTTTTCTTCATCCACCCTAATCTCATAAACTTGGATAATTTGAGTACCAAAACACGTCCTCAAAAATAAACTGTAACATCTTCTAATAGTAATTTCATGCTGCAAGTCCAAAAATTCCCTGAACCACCATCTATGTCATCATTAGGTTCCTTAACTCACCACCTCCTTAAATACCATCAACCTTACGGAACAAATGATTACAAAATTTCCATAAAATAATGTACGTAACAGAATACATAAATGAACAAAACAAAAAAAAAAAAAAAGGAAAGAAAAAAACCAAATTTTGTATCATAACCCAACTTGAATCCATTTGGACTGATTATTTGACTTGATTAATTCAAATCATGGGCCTAAGCAAATTGTGGAATGGATCTAGCCCAAGTCTCAGTTGGTTCAAATGCCAGCCGTTCATTATTTTTTTAATTTTTGTGTTGGACTTTCCCTCTCCAGTGTCTTTTTCTCTTCTTTCTCGCCTTTCCTTTCTATGAGCTAAAGCTTGTTTCTTTATAAAAACATAGCCACCATTCATGGTCTTCTTTCTCCTTTCCTTTCTTTATTAACCAAACACTTTTATTGCTTCACAAAACTCAAAAGTTTTCCGCCGTCATCTCTGTTGACTTAGTCGTCATACTCCCCTTTTCTTGATTAGTCTTCTTCAAAACACCCCACAAAATCGCAGATCTAATCAAAGCCTCAAAGGTTTAATACGACTGCTGTTGCTTGTTTCTCTTCTGTTTTCCTTCTACTTGAGCTCTTTAGTTGGGGTGTTTATAATCGATTTTAATTGAATTAATTGATAAGATTAATTTAATTTAGTTAATCGATTGATCATAAAATTAATTCAATTAATTAACGAAAATAATTTTAAAATAATTTTAAATTTTAATTAATTTGATTTTTAAACTAAATTAACATAAATTTTAACTACAATATAACATAATCTAAATATAAAATAAAAAATACATAAAATAAATCATTTAATTTTATAAATTATTAGAGTTTATAATATAATACTTTAGCATTTGAATATTTTAGAAAAAATTAAAAGTATCAATTTTTCTTGAAGATTAAATTTCAAAAAATACTTTAAGGAAAAGTTAAAAATATCAATTTTTCTTGAAAATAAAATTAAAAAAAAATACTTTAACGAAAGGTTGAAAGTATTAATTTTTTTAAAAAATAAAATTTCAAAATATTTAAGAAAAAATTGAAAGTATCAATTTTTCTTAAAAATAAAATTTTCAAAAAATATCTTTCGAGGGAAGATCGAGAGTATCAGATTTCTTTAGAAATCAAAATTTAAAAGATATCTTTGAGAAAAAGTTAGGAGTATTAATTTTTCTTGAAGATAAAAATTTTAAAAGATGCTTTATTTTGAAGAAAAGTTGAAAGATCAATTTTTCTTGAATAAAAGCATGAATTCTTTTTAAAAAAACAAAATAAAATAAAATAAGAAAATAGATCTTCGAAAAAAGTTGAAGTATTATTATTCTTTCATTTCTTTCTTGAAATTTTTTTTGTTAAATAATCCCACAACAAAGTATCTGCAAGAGAAACAATAGTTTTTTTGTATACTCTTGAAGTGAAATTTTTTTTTTAATTTTCTGTTAAAAGTATTGGAGTAAATTAAGAATAATTTTTAACAATTAATAATCTGGTAAGATTTTAAGGCTTAATGAATAACACGAAATTAAGCTGATACTATCCTTTGATGAGCGTTGTGGGGGTGTTATAACTTTTCTCACACATAATCATACTCCTGAACCTAGTTATGATTTCATAGACATTAAATCTATCTTTTAAATATACCTAAGTCAAACTTAAAATTTCTCTTTAAAAAAGGACAGATTCAATTAAGTGAGCAATCGCACCTAAATAAAAAAAATTAGTGGTGACTCATTAAGTCAATATCTAGCGATAGATTTACCGACCTATACGTTATGACAGTGATATATAGATAAGAGAAATGTTTTGACAAGTGGAATGTTTTGAGTCAAAAGAAAGTGATGAAGGATTGTTCATGAAAATTATTGAAAAAAAATTATTAGTCAATTCTAAAGCTTTGTGACAGAAAATGAAAAATGGCTTGAGGGTTTCTTTATCATAATTAAAGGTGCATGACATGGGTTTTTGTTTGCATTATATGAATGACATTCATCTCATTCATTACATATTTAGTTTTTACTTTGGATTTTGATTTTAAAAGGTTAAAAATTTGAAAATATGAGATTCTGACCCTCGATTGAAAAAAGTTTTTTGAGTATGAGATTTCAATTTTCGATTGAGCAAAAAATTTCATGATAAAACTATAAGTTTTTGGTTAAAAAAAATTTTCAAAATGAGATTTGTAAAAGTTTTTAGTCTTGATTAGGGAGTGAAATATTTTCCAAGATAATATGTTTTTATTTCAAAAGAAATAATTTTTAAAGTTTCAAAATCTCTATTAAGAATGAGCTTTTTTTAAGATAAAAAATGATTTGTAAAACCTCCGATTATAATTTTCACGATCTCCAGACATAATCTCCAAGACCTCTGGGCATGATTTGTAAGACCTCAAATATAATCTCAAAATTGTTGAGCATGATTTGTAAAACCTCCAGAGGTAATCATAAATTCCAATACCTTCGGACATAATTTGTAAAACCTCCAAACGTAACCTTCAAGATCTCTGAACATGATTTATAAAATCTTCGGGCA